AAAAATAGAATTATTGTCCCATATCATGGGGACAACCCCAATACTAGAAATGGCGCGCGCGTACGGTCTCCGTCCCCGATTATGGCTCCTGTGCAAACCAAAGCCAATACGAATTATTTTCGAAACTCAAGTGAAAACCAATCTATTTGGAAGTTGTTGCTGCTGCTGTTTTACAGACTTTTCAGTGCCTCTTGATAGAAGGAAGCTCACTGCTCTGTCCGTTACTTCAAAATTACCATCGATATGAATGGGAAAACAAGAAATGGGATTGGATGGGAACGCTAACGCTCACGAATGAGGCATTAATTTCTGTGTTCTAAAGGGAATTAATTGAGCATAAAACTTGCGTGTAAAACCGAGAGAACCGCAACGAGTGTTTATTTTACCAAAAGAAAGTAATCTGTGGAACGAAACCATTACTGCACAGGGCAAGCCTAGCAATCGGCAAGGAAGGTCTGAGGAAGCGCTATGCCTGAAACGTCTTCTACAAAACTGAGTTTATTTTGGCACTATTTTATCACTATTTACAACTTTTGAACTATTTATACAGTGTCACGCAGCCACGGAACCTTTTGAATTACCAACATTTAGGTTCAGATCTTTCTTTGAGCTATACAGTGTAAAGCATGGGCACTAACTTGGTATTACATCGGCGTTAAAGGCCGTGCCAAAACCTGTCAAAACACTGCCAGTATTCGAGAAACAGTGTCTCTAAAATAGAACAATCGGTATAAACGGAGCTAAATTGATTAAGTATCAGTAAGGCGATTAATGCGGCTTTTCTAGACAACGAGAACCAAACAACAGAAGAGAAAAAATTAATCTGGTCCAAGTTATATGAGCTTGTCAAATGAATTTGATTTTGTTCAGTAGAATACTTTAAATAAAAATTATGCGGAAAAGCCCATATTATAAAAGACATCTGATTGCGCTCAATTACTTTAAAGCAGTTTAATTTGCAGCTTGTATTTAGCAAGTCGGAACTCGTGTCATCACACTTTTCGAACTCGAAAAGAGTGTTATGTGTGGAAGTTAACAGTTAAGAACATAATGCAAGTTTTTCTTTCGACTTTACAAACCTTGTTCGTGATTAGACGCCGCTAATGCATTTAATTGGCGTTGCTTATTTAAAGCAAAAATACTGACGTTGTAAGCTGGGCGAATATTACCGGTAATGAGGTACATACAGCCCCACCTCAATGCACGGAGCAACTGATTTTTTGTAGCTTGGGCGAAGTCGATCCCTTCTTTTGTCACTTGTCTTCCATGATTTCCGCTATTAAGGTGATAAATAGAACTGCTTTCAAGCATAATTCTGGGTTGCGATCAGTACGAAATTACTGCGAGAATGTCACAAAAGCAACACAGATGACTTAAGAACTTACAAAGTGGCAAACAAAAATTCCGCCGTGGCCTTTATTGGCCCATACGAGCATAGGACTACATGTAGTGATTGGTGGATTTTTGCGTTTGTGCGAAGTCCCAGCTGTAAGGTGAAACAACGTGTTCTGACCTGGGGCCTGTTTCTCGAAGGTCCCGAAAAGTTTTCGCACCCGAAAAGCCTTAACAAAATCTCCAACCTTGTGATTGCAAAGCTGTTTTCTACACATATTCTTAATATGAACAGAAGTTCCCTTCATAGAAGAAGTTTCAGACGTATACACCTCTCTGTCTTTAAACACCGATTAACTAAAAATGGCTTTGAGGGCCGGAAAAGTTTCCGGGGCTTTCGAGAAACAGGCCCCTGGGCCCAAACATTTAGAAGCATTTGTATAGCAACCGCTCCTACTGCTACGTTTTTGGCAAAAGACTATGACCGAAAATATAAATTAAAAAGAAATGTCCAGATCAGTTAAAGAATTACTTAGTTAAGCGATCAGAGTCACATAAAAGATCTTTAAGGGACACCACCTTATTAAATTTAGGGGAATACGTCTTCAGCAATGGGACGGTCTTCGTTTGAGTATGCTGCTGCGAAGGACTAGAATGATCTTCCCGAAGAGTTAAGGGAACTTAGCTCCGTTTTTAGGGAGGCACGGTGGCCTCATGGTTAGTGCGCTCGTCTCCGGATCGAGCGGTCCGGGTTCGAGCCCTGGCC